ACTACATGGAGAATTCGCAGGAATCAGAGACACCCAAGGGCTCACGGGCAGATTCTGAGCCCTGTTTCTCCCGGTCCATCAGGGCTGCCATCTGGCATCGCCCTTGGAGCTTCATCTTTCGCTCATCAGCACCAATATCGCCTCTGATTGAAAATCCATCATGACGCAGAAGGGATGGCATGTTCGACTCACGGCAGATCTTGGATAAGACACAAATGACATCGCCACAATCAATCAGTCTCTAAAAAGCATGGGTTTTTCCGTAATGAGACAAAACTCCTCTACCTACGGAGTATGCTCTCCCTGGCCCCACGAGGTCTTTCTTCAACTCTATATTCGATGCGGGACAGTCTCACTTATTTCAGAAGGGGAGGGGGGTCGAGTATTACCACGGAGTGATTCACCCATGACTTACCCCAGCTTGTGCAGCCCGAGACCTATTTTTGATATAAAAAAAAAAAAAAAAAAAAGGAAGCGCGTCATCGGGTTAATAGTGCGTGAAGTGGTCACGTATCTCGTGTATCTGTAACACTGAAATCTCCGCCGCCTTAATGAAGAGCTGGTGTGTTGATGAAGTTCTCAATTTCAATATACAACCGCAGTGCACCTTGCCGAGATCAAAGGATGATGTCAAAAGACACGAGGGCAACGGGTCAATGGCTAATAGCGAATAACCCATCCCGCCGGCCACCTTAATGGATGGATGGAGGCGAGGTAAGCAAAGCAAGAATACCGGATGCTAGCAGGGCCCCAAGGGTTGATTGCCAGTGGCAAACCTTTCCTTCCGACCGCTGACAAGGCCTGACAATCGTCGGAAAGTAGCATTGCATCTCCAGAAAATCTGACAACGATGTCAGGGAGAAAAATAAAAAAAGGACGATCCAGTGAAAAAAATGCCATGGTGATTCGATGAGCTACGGCCGGATCCCAAGGTCCCCAGTCTTCCGGCCCTTGATTCTTGGCTGTCACTGCCCTGCTGTTTCTTGCTGCCACCCTTCGCTGTAATAGTGCACCAGTCGCCCGCCGCAGGGTTGTCTTGCCGGGTTTATCGATTCTGGGCCCTTATTATACAGGTGTTGGCCGGGCGCTGTGATAAGCCAGCCAGCTGGGCAACCTGGAAGTGCTGCATCTGCAGACTGCCCGCATGGAAAAGTGCCCGGGAAGGCGAATGTCACGCTCCGTCTGACAAGCAACCGGCTGGTGTCGGTTACAGTGGTGGTGATGATTGCATCGGCCATTTACCTGCCTTGAGTCTATAAATGCAGGGATCACAAGCTGTCGGCAGTGGCATGGCTCTAGTGTTAGCTACCTATTGGAAATGTTGCAGCTGGGAGTGAATCAGGTAATAAGCTGCAGATGAACTCAATTTCGTGGAACGGATATTTGGACGGAGACATTATTTAGGTAAGTTTTCAAATTCATTAGATGGTAGTAAGTTTGCATTTCCCAATATCCTCATCATGACCCAAGATATTGTCATCGTATACATGTGCTCAAAGCACCTGGGCCAACATCCCAGGTTGGTATTCCAGAGTAATCGCCTTCCGTTGTAAAAACCGTACCGCGCGCCCGTCATCGATCCCAAATGTGCATGTAGCCGTCTATATGTAAATGTGCGGAAAATCCAAAAAGAGAAATGGCCGTTCGGGTAAGCCTTTACAACTCCTCGTTGCCGTCGCACTGCTGCCACATGGAAACCTTCTGGACAGTGAGCTCAGGCTGAGTCCACGTGGGGTACCACTGGTCGCGGGCATTCCAGAAGTCCTTCTTGGCGTTGGGGCTGCTTCCGACCCACGGCTTTCCAGACTGGCCATCCTCGAACCAGCCGTTGGTACCGCCGACGGCCACGTTGATGATGAGGTAGAACTTCTGGTCAAAGGGGGTGTTGGAACGGCCAGTTTGACTCCAGACGTCCTCCAGGCGGGAACCGTTGGAGTTGGTCTGAGGGAAGTCGCCACGCTTCCACATGGGCTCGTCAAAGTTGGTGTAGAGGACCTGAAGCAAGCGACTGTTGACGTAGGTGAAGAGGTACTTCTGGGACCATTCGAGACCAAAAGTGTTGAATTCATCACCGTAGGTCGTGTGCAGGGCCTGGCGCTTGTTGTTGGTCCTCCACCAGGCATCGTTGGCCTGGTCCGGGCCCCAGTGCAGAGCAGAGGAGACGATGTTGTTACCACCCTGTGCATAGGTCCAGTTGTTACCGCGAGACTCCATGATATCGATTTCACCCGAGAGGGGCCAGGCACCATAGGTATCCTCAACAGGCATCATCCAGATAGCGGGCCAGAGCCAATCCCCCTTGGGCAGCTTGGCGACGACCTCAACGCGGCCATACTTGAGGGTAGCACCCTTCTTGGTGTTGATGCGGCCAGACTTGGTGGGGGGGACAATGGAAGAGTTGCCGGAGGTAGTGTTGGTGGCAGTGACACAGGCGGAGAACTCTGTGGAAGTGCAAGTTCCATCCTTGAGCAAGTCAATCTCGTTGTCCTTCTCAATAAGAGCGGAGTCTTGGAGAGTGGGACGGATGACCAAGTTGCCGTCCTTGAGGAAGACATTCTCGTTGTCGGCAGTGGTCATCTGGAATTCACCATTGCTGGGTTTCAATTAGCGTGGTGCGGGGGTAAGGAATGTGAGCAAGGAAACGTACCCAAAGCCGCCGACTTGCACCTCCTGGGTCCAAATGTTTGTATCCAGACTGCTGCCGGTGAAATCCTCCATGAGCACAGGGCAGTACTTGTGCTTGACGACACTATGGATACCGTCCCAGACGAGGAAGCCAGAGATGGCAAGACCGATAAAGATACCGACAATAGGGATGATGGTGACCCATTTCTCCTTGGGATCGGCCTTGTCCAACCAAGGCTTCTCGACATCCTCCTTGCGAATACGTCTCGAGTGGAAGTACCGCTGGGATCGCTCGTCGAAGCGTGCGCCGAGGGCGCTGGACGAGCCGAAGCTCGAGGCAGGGCGGGAGACGGCAGGCGTGCCGAACGGGTTCGTGCCCATTGGTGTACCGGCCATGGGACCTCTCTGAGAAGCTTGAGACTCGACACCATCGCCAAAGGGATTGCGGCTATTCTCAGTGTTGGGCGTGCCAGGGCGAAGAGGGGTTCCGGCAGCCGTGGTGGCCTGTGAAGGCATTCCAGCCGTTGGGCGGTTGTAGTAGCCCTGGCTGTACTGATCCTGATCCATGATGTGTTATAGACGAAGGATGAGGTTGACAATAGAGTTGAATGGCCTTACGGCTTGACGTAGAGGGAGAGTGCGTGTTCCTCAAAGTAGTCAACGGGTAAGCAAGCAAAGGTATAACGAATGTAGAGCCGCGAATTGTCAATGGGGTTTGCCGGTTGTTGCAATGCTAGTGTAGATGAGCGAAATACTCTCGGCGACAGTGAGAAAGAGCGGCAAGGGAAAGATTTGTAGTGTTCCCAACGACGGACAAGGCGAAGGAGAGAAGAAAGAAGTTCCCAGCTGGGCTTGAAGGAAAAAGGCGAGACCGGGGAGGTAAAAGGCAAGGCCAGGGACTCAGGTCGCCGCCAACAGGAGAAGACGCAGGCAGATCAAAGACGCTCTTGCTCCTCCTGGGCGAGCTAAGATGAGGAAGGCCAAGTGCGATTCGGGTACCTCTGCCAATGTACCTCTTATTGCCCTTCGCCCGTTGTGCTATGGTGGCTCATTCTGGGAGGTGTGACCTTTGACAGTGCTTATCTCAATTCAATTTGCTTACTTCATACAGTACGTACTGTGAGCGCTGTACTCGCTATCCCATAGTGAGGTACCAGGCCCCAAGACCCCTAATTCAGCCACGGTGGAAATCATCAACCGAGACCGCACACTGTACGTACCCAAGTCCACCGCGCTCCCACACCCCTCAGTCTCTTTTCGTCGCGTCTTCTTGCTCTTCTCTTCCTCCCATCTTTCGCTTCCTCACTCCACGTACCACCACCCCCGGTGCCCCTCCTCGATCCCCTTTCAGCTTGCCCACCTCACTTGTTGTTAACTTTGGATCCGGTCTTTTGCTAGTTCGGACGAGGCCGCATTTGTTTCTTTCACAAACACTTCGACGACGACAATCCTCGTTCGTTTCTTCGGCCTCCCCATCGCCCTCACCTCGATGAATCCAGACCTGAAGCACTCCAGTCCCGCTTCGTCTGGGTCTGGCCTCGCCGTTTGCCCAATATTACCCGTTCAAACCTACTGAGTACATCCGCATCTCGGCGCTTCTTATTCAGCTCTCGTCATGTACGCCGTACGCCGTGTACGAAATCTTCGTACGAATAGACCTCGCAAGAGTCAAGGATCACTACCTTATCTCGTCATGCCCTCCGGCACCGCGACTACAGCCACCACGAAACCTCACTATTGAAATACTGCAGAACGCTTCACCTTCAGCCCTGGACATATGATGGCAACATCACAAGCACCGACTGCTCTCGATCTCCCTCAGTCTCCGCCTGCCAGCATCCCGTCTTGCCGTCGTTACCTTGCTTCCTCGGGCGGGTTGGTTCCAGCTCCCTATGCTTCTCGGCGCCGCTCGCCAAAGAGCAGCAACTGTATCCGTATCCGCTGCGTACAATAAGTGACCAGGAAAAGCAGCAAGAGATTTTGCCCATGCGGCTTGTTCTGGTGCGCTTGTTAGCTTGGTGGCGTGCATGCATCGGCCAGTTCGCTCAACGATGCCCTTGTACCTGCATTAAAGCCCCTGTCTGCTCTTATGCTGGGCCCCTGGTCCTTGAAGTGGTCGCTGGTCGGACGAAAAAGACGCGATAAGGGATGCTGCCTCTTCAGGACTAGATCCAATAGCGCCCGACAGTATTGAGCCGGTCTGTCATGGCCCGTCTTGGCCCCCTCCTGGCCTCCCTACCGCAATTTCCACCGTCACGTCAAGACCGTCGACGTCGTGTCGCGATGGCGTCAAAGCTCAACTCGAACCATCTCCTATCCAGGTGCCAGACATAGACTCGGCCAGCGGCGAAAGGCCCACCGCGCGCCTGTTGTCTTGGCTTACGGCATCTCACCAACAGCCATTGTCCTGGCCCGATACGAAACTGAGGAAACAACGTTCAGCTGAAGTATTGTAGGGCTCCCGGGGCCAAAGCCAAAGCACAGCAGCTCCATGTCAAAGAGTTGCAGAATATCGGATGATGATTTCCTTAGAACATCATTGCTTCTGCTGTGATGGTCACAATGAGTTCACCTACCAGACACATTCAACTCAAATCCCCCTTTTTAGATTTGACATCATCAACACTGGCCCAGAAGCCTACTACAAAGAGATCAAGGATTCAACATAAACAATGCCCATGCCCTATCCCATGGAAGGCTTTAGTCGTGCTCTGTCCCAGCAGCTCGGACGATCCGCCTTGGAACTGAATTCGACGATCGGCAAGGAGTGTGCTTCTAGCTTCCCGATGTTTCTCAAGGGTGGCGAGTAACAAGTGAGGCCAACATGTTGATCGCGGCCTCAAGAGTGCTTGTGCTTGTGCCGGCCCTGCCGTCGGATGCTCCATCGCGCTTCGGACTCTGAGCTTCAGAACCCTTGGTTCTATCCCCACGCTAGGTTATTCCGTTGGGGCCATCCTCGGAAGATCGACCCCCTCCGGGACGGACCCCGGCGAAGCGGCGGATGTCTTTCTTTGTCTCATTGCGACCTTGCCTTTTCTAGTGGCTCGACAAACCCAACTCGGGAGCGCTGCCTTTGTCAGTGTCAAGATACGGCAAGCCATCTCTAAAACGGCACAATGACAAGACTTCAGCCTCGTTTTCTATAACGCGCATTATCACGTTCAAAGCACTTGCCGGTTATCGTGCAGGAAGACATCTGTAATGCAAGTGTAGTAGGCACGTTGGCAGGCCTCAGACAACCAAGAGGGCCGATTACACTGCATTGAGCATGCGTTAGCGTTTCGATATCGGCCAGCCGAGCTGTTTTTGCTGTTCTACCGCAGTACGGTAATCCTTGATGAGACCATGGACGGAATTTCGTGGTCCTCTCATTCGTCGAATTAGACCACTCCCATCATGTTAGACTTCCTTTATCGAATTCAACGGGCGTAGGTTCCATTGGGCTTTTTCTTTCGGTAGGGAATTATCTTGTGCGGCAGCACCCTCAACTGAACCTGTTCCGCGGAGTCGGTATGTCTCAATGCTTCGGTTACAGTACATGAGTTGAGCTATCGTCACGCGGCTTGTGAGTGGTAAGCCGTGGAACTATCACTGCCGAATCAACACATGAAGCCATGCTGTGCGATAACGTGTTGCCTGCTTGTCGATAAGATGTCGTAGAGGCTTCAACACGCTCACACCAGCAATACCCGAACAGACATCTTGTCATTCACTCTGAACATGTTTGTGTTTTGCCATGCACCTCAGGAAGCTTCGTCGACGTTGTATTGAAGTCTGACGCTTGAAGGTCTAGCATCGCAATGGGCCCATGAGCATGTTGTTCAAGCCGTTGGTGTGGTGGCTCGACGAGCCAGTCAGTCGCCGTATAAGCTCGTCAACCCCGCCTTTTACAGGCCGACATGGCTGCCCCTCCTTCTCGTGTTCTACGTTGGCTTTGATTTCCCCCGGCCAGTCAGGCTTGCAGCTCGCCTAACCGGTTATTTTAGGAAAAAAGGCGCCTCCATCGAGAAGGCAAACGAACCCCAACCCTCCCGACGCCTCCCCCTCTGCCCACCACGTCAAGCTGCGCAAGTCTCGCATTGGGGTTGGTCTAGGGCTGGTGACCTCTGGTCCAATCGAGCCGACCTCGCAACTCGTAAGTCTCGCCGTTGAGCCGTTATCTGGGGGGGCAGAGTGCCTATCAGAACGTAAGTTTCAGTTGAGGCAACGGCCGAAGGAGCAACGTGCCATCGCCCGTATCCACCTTGTGTGCTTGTATACAGCAGTCGATGATAGCCGTTTGAGTGTGGCTGTTGCGCTGTTATCGCGAGGCATAGAGATAGTTGGGTCGTTGACCCAAGCTACCTTGAGTCATCTGCAGCTGTGCCAAGGCAGAAATTGTCCTTTTGGTCGACAGCAACTCTACACAGATGAGCAGCACATTTGGTTGCTGCAGGCAGAACAGGGTACTCTGCATGTAATGCATTGACTCTTTACAGAAGGGCTAGAGCAACCAAAGGCCCAAACCCTGGGCGAGCTGGACAGCTGGGCATGCATTCTTGCCACGCCCGAAGCAGGCAGGGTCTCTCTGTGCCCGGTGATCCGACTGATACTGGGTGACTGGCGTGACTGGGTATGTGCTGGTCGGTTGGCAACGGGGAAGTGTGACTTGGATGGTGTGGCGAGATGTAGGCCTGCGGCGGTGGGATCGAGTTGCTGTCCGAGTTCTCGAGTTGTGCCACTGATTTTGTTGGGAGGCCTGATTGATGAGTGTCTATCCTGAAAGATGCAGTCGGCAAGGTGGAGAGTAGACCAAGATGGGCTCGGTGTATAGTGAATGTTGCTATCCATGAGTTGAGCCTCATTGCACGTGAGGTTACTGACTGCAAAGTCCTACTTGCCTAGCCGGCAGCCCGAACACTTTAGACGGCACAGGGTAGGTCTTGAATCAGTATCACCTAGGCCGGTGATGATGTAGTCGATTGATTGTATACCGAATTTTGGTGTCAGCGTAGGATGGAAGGGGAGTCCCGTCGAATGCTGTTCCTAATAAAATGTCTCGCCGTTTACTAAAGTATTCTCTTTTGGGTCTGTTCTAGAATCAATAATTTGGCAAAACCCCCACCGTGTAAGTCAGAGAACGGCTCAAAGATATCTCCTTCATCTTCATATCGTAGGATGGTACTGCTGAGACTATATGAATAGTCACCGCCTACTATATAGAGGTGAGATTGAGTTTCATCCCACATTCTTGATGGTTCGGTGTGTGGGTAGAGTGCAGAGACGAGAAAGCCAAGACGATTAAGGAGTTGATCCTTCGAATACACGGTGATGTATAAGATAGTAAGATAGTGAGGCATTCAATAGTCGTTGGTAACGAAATGGTACATGTAGCAAGTCACCTATACGAGGAGCATTGGCACAAGTAGAGTATGCGTGAGGAGTCTTGCGAAGGCAAGGAAACGTTGTGCTAACTTTTCAACATGACCAAGTGAGCTTAGAGTTATGCTTTCCGTGGTTTTAGGGTCCAACTGCCAGTTGGTATCAGTACTATGAGGAAAGGATAGACCATTGATGTTAGTCGAATGCGAGTGACCAACAACATGACGTTGGGAAAATCGTCCTAAGTACAGCATCATGAGTGGACTCAAAGTGGATTTAGACCTGTATTTTTAGATTTGCTTGGCTACGCAACACGCAAGGTCTTGAGCGTGGATGGAATACACTAGCAGAGATTACGTCAAACAATTCGCTGGCGTGAATTAGGGGTTATATGATTATCAAAGATAGTATCGTGCTATTTTGCATAATGGAATATTGAAAGACATCATGAATACCTGGCACGTCACCCGTATCAACACTCTTCAAAATTTGTGGATGAGCCTTTCAAGCCGTAACCCTTGATATCTTCTTTAAACAGCCCATATCATTCACTATTAAGGTATGCTACTTATATGGTAATATTGTCATCTCATACTCCCTCGTCCAACCAGCCGATTCCAGCTAAACAAGGTCTAAGCCAACGCGGCAAGTCCCGCAAGCAGAGCCGCACCAGCAGCCACACCAGTTCGCACAGCCGCGCCGGGGCTAGTCGTAGTCCTAAGCCCCGTCGTAGAAGACCGCGTCGAAGCCGCCGCCGTGGGACTGGCCGTCGTCGTCACGGGGCAGCTGACGGTACAGGGGATCGCCGTCGTGAACGGCAGCCCTGAGGCCGAGCTCTCGGGGTAAGCGGGCGCCTGGGTGACGGCGCTCGGGTTCGGCGTCATGGACGGGGCGTCTGGGTTCAGCACGTTGTCGATGATGTGTAGGATGCCGTTGGCGACGAGGATATCCGGCTGGATGATCTGCGCCGAGTTCAGGAAGAGATTGTTGCCGGACCGGATGACCTTTATGTCCTCTGTTGCGAGGGTGGTGAGGTTGGTGCCGTTCTTTAGGTCGGAGGAGGCTAGGATGCGACCCGGGACGACGTGGTAATTTAGAAACTTCTTCAGAGCATCTTTGTCCAGGTTGTTGAGGGATCCGGCGACGCGTTGGAATGCCTCGTTGCGTGGCGCAAAGATTGTAACGTTCTTCTCCTCCGATACTGACGGGAGGAGATTGGCGGCGTAAAGCGCGCCGAGGAAGGCTGGGAGCTTGAATGAGTCCGTCGTGTTCTTGAGCCTGGCGGGCGGGATCATGAGGTTGTCGACCACTTGGATGAGTCCGCCGGCGAACTTGATGTCACCTTCGACCTGGGTGGTGCGGATGCCCTCGGACGAGGTGAAGACGATGACGTCGCCAGGCTGCTTGTTGACGAGGACGTTCTGTCCGGTGGTCACGTTGGTCCAGGCCTTGTTGAGGAGGAGTGAAGATCGGAGGACGGAGGGCCCTGATTCGAGGGCGCCGGTTGAGACTGTGCCTTGGAGGATGTGGTATTCCAGGATGGGGACGGCGATAGAGGCGTCTGATTCATTCCAGATGCCGTTTAGTTGGGTGCCTGGGATGTTTTCAAAAGCCGAATTTGACGGCGCAACAATCTTCGACTTTTGTCAGCATCGATCAGGGAAGTCGATGAATGTTTGCCTCAGAATGAAGACGCGGCTTGATGTTGAGGTTTCGTGATGACTTACTGTGACGCCATCATAATTTGGAAGCTTGAGGATGACCTCAGGGTATTTCTGTTGAAAGTTAGACACGAAGGCTTCGCGCTTCTAAAGATCTTCCTCCGACCCGAGAAAGCCCAAAATGCAACTTGAGGGCTCGAGGCTTACCTTGATTAAGTTATAATATGTAGACAAGTTTGACTGCGACTGAAGAACACTTCCAAGGTCGTCTTCTTGGGCAGCGACATGTTCGAACAAGAATGAGAGACCAAGCAATCCAGTCTGAACGAACGCCGATAACATCTTCATACTCGGTCGCGGTAGGAAGGAATACGATGAAGAGAGGTAGGAAACGACTGGGCAACTCGAATTGAGGAGCGGATAGCCTCAGTTGATTGTCGAGGCTCCGTAACGATATTCCTCTCACGAAAATACGCACAACGGCAACGCGGCACGGGTCGGAGATTCCAAACCCGATCAGAGCAACCGCAGCAATAACGACAACATCGAAAGAGCCTTTTGGGAGAGCGATCGGCCCATTGGAGAAGGGTGAGCCGCTTAAAGAGGCTGTGAGAGGCCTGTTGCTCGACCAACGGCGGTTACCCTGAACCCTGGACTGCAGGTAATGTCGACGTGCCCCTGGGAAGGATCTTCTCTTCTGCCATCGGACTGGGGAGGGGGGGGGGGGGGGGTAAGGCGGCGCCGCGACACCGGGAGAAGCTTCTTGGCAGAAAACCACCGGGAGTGAGAGATGTTTACTACTGTTACAATGTCATTGATTCCGGGCGTGGTTGAGATTTGTGTCTTGCCAACTGGATCAGCTCACAGAAACACCTACTATACGGTGCGTCAGTAGCAGGCCGCCTGACGCAGAAAGCTGGAAGGAAACCTGGATTGACTTGTGTCGAGACCCGATTTGGGGCATGTCAATGTCAGCATATTTCAACATAAGTCGAATCTTGCTGGGATATTCGGAAATAGGCACGCCAGAGATGGTTCTGTTGTCCGAGAAAGAGACCAACCAAGATTTGCTTACCGGTGACCGTTACCGTTGGCGATTGATCTGCCGAGCCACAGGCATAAGTCCTCTCCAGATTCTCACTCCAATTGACAAGGCCCCCAGCAAATAGCACCATCGCGCTTGAGGCTCCAGAGATAGCGGGCGAAAGCCGGCAACATGGAGCATAGGAAGCCCAGCAGTGCCAGGCTGTCAGCCAACCAACCACCCAGGGGCGAGGGAGACAACCCATGTTACACGTCCACACGTCTCCCATGCATGCAGCCCTGCATGGGAAAGTGACACGGCCAAGAGGAAATAAGAAAGGACTGGCAGACAGAGGGTGGCATTTGCCCACGTTCCCGGTCCAGCTCACCAGCCCCCCAATGCGCCCTCTTGATAAGGCAAAACAGCGGTTGCTTCTTGCGGTGACATTGTCATTCGAGCAACACTTTTGGGGCTGAAGCTGTCGCGTGGACAACGACGATGTGATTTGAGTGTTGCTCGCAAGCTGTGCAGTTTACTGAGAGACACATCACTCTGCGGGTCTCACCAGGTGTCTCGGCTGGATCAGCTTTTCGAAATATCCGTACGCCGTACGGAATACAAGGTTGTTAATAAAGTTGAATAGAGTTTCAGTTAGGATGTGGTCCTCGCTCGCCTGTGGCACCATCACCGCGGCTTCTCAACGAAATGCGAATGCGCTGCGAGCGCTTCGTTAAACGGGGAGTGAGTCTGGTTGAACTGCCAATTCGACCAGGAAATCTCTCGCGCCTTATCAAAGACCGTGATACGAGCTTCCTCACCTGCCTGGCCAAATTCGAGACACTGCGCGTACGACGAGGTAGCGCATCCGGTACCCTGATCAAAAAAGCCACTTTGCCTTGGCCAGGGTTACACCTTTTGCGTCCTCTTCCCCCCCCCCCGCCTTCCCCTCCTCAACACGAGCTGCAGTGCAGGATGGCGTGGATCGCGACAGCCAACGAGATTGGAGACTCGGCAACAGGCGGCCGCTGTAGAAGCACCCTTGCGAATCCCCGTCGGGAGCATCGCATCTGCGGTCTGCCACGGGAACACGAGAATCGAGATGCATTTCAATGCCAGGTCCCCCCTTGCCCCTGTTGCGCCCTGCCCAGCAGTGCCTTGCAGGGATCACTGATGGAGTGTTCCCGCGGTGAGTGAACCATTTGCAGCGCCAGTTGGATGCCCGTGCTTTCTGTCTTGATCAGTATTCTCCCTGCCGGGATTTTGGAGCGATGGATTACTTGAGACTGCGATAATTTTCGTTTGGTTGGATATGTAGTTGGCGGCTGCTCATTTTGCAACGAGAATTTCTTAACTTAGCGAAAATGGACGACGATTGAAGGTGGCACCGGGCTGAACAACGTCAACTAAGTAATTAGAAATGCCTCTATGAGGTCCTGTGGTAGTGATTGATCAAGAGGTTGGCCGGTACTAAGAGCTTTAGAAGTATCTTCATTGCTCAGATGTTTGTGACTTGTTGAATAAGTTGAAGAAGGATTCAGTGATTCCAGCATAGTGGCTACCCTCTCCGGTACTTCGGAGGCCTACGGCGAGCAACCATCCTCCGCCGGTGCTTCGTCCGGCTTCGACCCACATTCGCCGGCCCCCCGGCCTCGTCGTCTCCGAGCCATCTCGTCGATTCAGGTACTCATGGCCCGATGAACGCTTTATATTACAGGGCTTACCTTGGACCATACCCTTCAAACTTCTTCAGGCTGTCTGCCTATTCTCGAAATGTTTTTTCGATTTGGCAACCCTAAAGGTCCTTAGCTCGTATACTCTCATCAGGGGGATGTCACCAAAAGGCCTTTGAGACATAGAGAAGGATATGTTAAATCTACCTAAACTATATCAGTCCCTACCTACTAAGAACGGGGCTCTATCTAAAGACCAGAGCAGAATTAAGAGTTTCCTACATGTAGTTCATCATTGAGGCCCCTTTTAACAACCTAATTATGGGGGGAAGTATGCTCTCCCAGTGTCTGGTTCAACCTGAAGAAAGGCGACACGGTGGTCTTCATGAACTGATAATGACGGAGTGGGACAAAGTCACGATCCTTGAGCGGTATTCTCGTTTACTTGCAAGGCCCTAGACCCTACATGTTAGATGATGATCTTTATATGTGTCAGTTCTACTGGCGTTTTAAGAATTTGGATGGTTTTTGTGACCTTTCAGAACGCCGGGAAACATGCCATCACGTTTGCCTAAACCAGGCCAGTCTTTGAGCACTTGGATGAAGGCGAACGTAACGGGGTCAAGTTTTTGATAGGCCGCAATGGAATTTGCTATTCTCACTCATGCCCCGGGAGGAGGACGGGTTTTAGCAATATTCAAGGGCAGAAAACATGAGCATCAAAACCTCATCCTTGGCACTCGTTCTTATCTTCTCTGCTTGGTGTTTTCCTCATCCTCCACCCCTCAAGGAGTAACTTGGCTTAAGCAGTATGAGATGTGTAAGTATTCCCAGCGCGACGCCGAGTTGTGACTTGATCGGAACCTAAACTTATGATGGCTCTTGGCCGGCAGAGAGTATGTCGGTAGGCCGAAGCATGGTGAACAGTATTTTCTGTTTCTGAATATATACCGCGAGAGACTAGGACGATATCGCAGCGGAAGTTTCGCGGGCAGTTGTGGAGATCCTCTAACCGTCATTGTGACCACAATTCTGGTTTCAGCGCCTGCGGGATCAAACTAAGATGGAATGCGTTGACCTACTACCAGTAGTTACGGTGATATGGTGGTGTGTTTTGAAAAAGTGTGTTGCAAAACAAATGCTCTCGAATATGACTAGGTCGTGGTAGAAATGAGAGAGAATAATGTGAAACCCCTTGCCTCAGGCCATATGTCGAATGCCATGGGAATTCCATCTACATGTCCTTGAGAGACGAGAGAGACGGACCAATCTACAGAAACGAATAGAGTCCGACGAATGCTCCGATATGACTCGAACTTTGGTTGTCACACTTCTCACCTCGATGGGTTCATAAATCCCAACCACGACAGCAAAACAGTCATGTAAGTGGCCTCGAACAGTAGGCATTAGATTTGCAAATGGTGCCCAGGTAACAAACGCTGGTTGTAGCATCAAATTGTGAGAAAATCCCGTCCCTTCAGTCTTCAACCATGTCTCAGTCTCACTTTCACAATGCCTGGTAATAGCATGAACCTTCCATATGACCTACCTGCGGTGTTTGCCACAGCCATACCAATTTGTTTTGCCCATCCATGCTACTGGGGCGACCTCCTAGTAAAGCCCGAAAACCATGACCCAAGAGACAGTAAATCACCCCCTGATTCTCAGTCGACATTGGGATCCTTCACCCTGGACCATTAAGAACACATCACGTGGAAGGATTGCGAAATGATATGAACTCCATGGTGATAACTATATTGACTACATGGATTCCGAGCTTGCTACTACGTTAAAAAGCGAATGCTACCCGAGGCCGTGAATGCTTGCTACCAATAGAGAAAAAGAGAAATCCAACCCTTGAACGACTGCTTAATGATATACGGATGCGTTTCCTCTTCGCAGAGAATGCAAGTCTAGTGTATGCTTTGCGTGTGTACTGTTCCACGTGTTGTCATGCCGAGCGCATGAAACATGGACAACAAGAGGAAAAGAAGGACATGATGAGAAGGTTGAAAGGGAGTGGAAAAACCGTGTAAACCATGAAGAGATTCGAGTTGGGCCAAGGAGAAAGGTGAAGGAGTCTGCGTCGTAAGAAACCTTTAAGACGACCGCTTAGTAGCATCCCGAGGCCTCGACGGCTGCGGTGTTGAAGATGCGTGTTTGGCAGCCGGATCCTTGACAGGGCACCCAGGCAGTTCAAAGGGCCCCGCGGTAGTTGTCGAGTCTCCGTTGACAGCCGAGGCGGACGCGCCCTGTTCCTGACCCGAAGCAGGCGCCGTCGTCTTCTCTCCCCTCTTCTCCCCAACAGGTGTGGTCACGAACAACATGTTGGACGTTTTGATATAGATCAGAGAATCTCCAAGATGGTTGTCGTGGCCGAGGTATCTCCCAATTTAGGGCGAAGCCGGGGGCGTAGGGCCGTCTGGTTGAGGGTAAATAGGACCACGGGGACGGGGAGCGCCGGGTGGTGATGGAGGAGGATCGCCGAAGGAAGTGATGTGCGAGAAAACCTCAATGGGACGCAATGGGTCGTCGTGAGGGGGCCAGCTTGGGTCTTGTTGTTCTTCCGACTTTGAGTAGACGCCCGAGTTTTCGTCTGAGATGTAGGTTGAGACGTGGTCTTTGTTAAAGAGGTTTGAGCATGTTGGGGGCAACATTGTCGGAAAGGGATTTCTCTAGGCGAGAGGTCTTATAGTGCGGGTTTGTTCGAGCTGTTCAGGACTTGGGGGCCAATTTTGGTCCAGTTGGTGAATCAGAGGTATGAAAGGCGATATGTTCAGTGATTGATGAAGTGACTGAATCAGTGAATTCTGAGGGTATTGCTAGGAGTGATTGAGGGTTGTGGTGATAGAGTTCTGCCATCTGAGACATTCAGACAAGATGGCAGCCGCCTCCTATATACGTCTTCACGAACGCTCCGTGAGGCTCTGCCTATACACCAAGACACACAGACACACAGACACAGAAACAGACAAAGACCCTCCACAACGTTGAACACTGGCCAGCTAGACCATAGAACTTGCCTATACCTCCGGCACCATGTCCTCAAAGACATCAAACCGGCAACTGACCTGGCGCTTAGTACGAAGATTACTGCCTTGTGTGACGCGACAACCAGAGCTCATCTGCCAAGCGTCGTGTATGACAAGGGGTGGAAGGGGGTATCTCGAAGGGATACACCTACTGTGTACTCCCCTACCCGTAAGGGTCTCAAGCCGCTTCTGGCAAGGCAAGTCGAAGCACATACAACCTACCGGTCAGGCTCCCAGGAACCGGGAACGACCAACCAGATTCGGCATAAGGCTCCCAAGAGAGTGGGTAGGAAGGCCGCCCCCCGCGGGAAAGGAATGGGCAAACATGGCAGTGAAGGGGTGGGTTGACATCCTACTCCAAAATGAGTGCGGCAGGGGTCGGGCAAAGTGTGTGAGGGAAAAGGGCGTGGGATGCCAACGGCGAACGCAGGATTATGCCTCGCTCCAAGCCGCTGTGTAACCAGTCGGTCGAGCCAGGCAACAAGTCTTCAACCGTCCGGCCGATGGTATGAAAGAGTTGAAGACCTCTTGTTCAACTAACTGTCAGTAGCCTGGTACTATGTTCAGCAGTACCAAGAGGTATTCTGGGCTTGCTGCCTGGCTGCCACTCGCCGACCGAGGGAGGGTGGTAAGAGTCCCGCCGAGATGGTCCGTCATGTGAGCGACTACATCCACCGGTGTTTGGTACCGGGTTGCAAGCATGTCGGGGCCGGCCGAGCGGACAACTCAGAACACGTAAGTTGAGCAGAACAAAAGGCCTTGGAGGACACTGAGAGGCTGGGAAACGGCCCCCATCTATGAGGCTTGGGGACAGAGAGACGACGAACGCGGGGCCACTCAGTTGGGTATGGGGTGTGGCTCGCGCGGATTTTGTCCAATCTACATCCAGAGAATGTGCTGTTCCAGAGCGGGATGGGGAGGGTAGGCGAAAAGAGACTCGGCCACGCTGACACTGGGACAAAATGAGCATCTGGGTGGGGGGGCCAGACGAGAGGTCCAAGATGCCCAGGACATAAGCAAGCAGTCGACGCGAAGGACGCAGTGCGTACATTTATCCGGTCTAGCGCAGAGCCGACGGGGCGGATTTGGCCACACCCACATCCCACGTTGTTCCACGCTTCCCACCCAGCAGGCTGGAGCAGGGCGAGGGTGTAAGTCCATAGGGCTGAAGGATGCCGAGGCTTTGTCAACCGTTGAACGACGACGTTGTACGAACTCTATGGAGTGCTGGATCGTGGCCGAGAACGATCTCCTGCATTTACGGCGTTTCAGTCTTGATCAGCCTGATGGATCATGAGACCCAGTGTTATAAGGCAGTCGACCAGGCCAAGATGCGTTCGTTTGACCTCTTTCGTCTGTCTAGCTCAGCTTAGCTTCTTTCTAAGTGGGCGATGTGGGGGATTTGACTGGGGTAAAAAACAGTCACCAAACTCACAACGGAGGGAACTCCCCTCTGCGCCGCTTCCAATGCTTGGCTCGCTGCCACCCAAGTGTGGATTGCGGCATGATGAACATGCCGTAAGACGACTGAAAGCAAGTTTCTTGAGTCAGAAAGAGCCATTTACTACTCAAGATGGCGGGTGAGCCACGGTGAGTAGGGGGATACTGTCGGCCGCTCCGGCTTTAAAACCCCTGCTGCAGGGTTGTTGCAGCCCTTTGATGGTGGGGGATAGAGCATCGGTAGGTAGTAGAGCAGGGTTATCCAACAGCCGAGACATTACCAACTTGTACCCGGCTGCCGGTTCTGATGCTGCCGCCGTCGCCGGTGTTTCGTTTGGGTGATCCGGCCAGGTGGTTGTGAAGCATCAGGCTGGCGGTGATGCGGAGTTGTTGGTGTGATGCCTGCGCGAACGAACGAGTTCCCGGGGGGCCGCTGCCCCTCATCCCAGTATCGGGGTCAGCTCGATCGGCCTACGATTGGCTCTGACGGCTACCATGACGACTTGCATGTTGCGTGGGCCTCTCAGGCGCCAAATGAGGGTGCGCATTCAGATATGTTGTCAGCGTGCCCGAAACCAAACCCATGGAGCTTGTGTAACCCGAAAGATGAAGAATCTCTGTCAACCGTCGAACACATGTGGCGGGTCCAAGGTACTGTGCATATTCTTTCCAGATAGTCCACGAGGCGATATCCGAAATAATAGCATTCAAAGTAGTGCCGTCCATTCCTCCACTTCGGCGTAAGCAACCGCACGGCTTGGTCAGAAAGAGTCGAAGTGGCCACCCGCTGCCTGTCGCCCCGATGTCGATTCGCTCTGTGGGAGTCAAAAATAACCGTGTCCAGAAGCTGACTCAACATCGAATCGCTGTGAAAGGCGTCATGAACACAGGCAACATCGGTTGATCTGCATCTCTTGGAATGTCAGTCGGGCGGAGACCAAGATAGATGCGTGTTGTGAGGTTGTGTAAGCTCACATGTTGCCAAATCAAGCCCAAGCCGCATCCACTTTCTCCGCCCGATAGCACAATCTGTCGCGGCCGCCGAAGCAGAACTCGGACAGACTTCGCCCTTGCTTAGACTTGGTGACTCTTGAAGATGACTGGGAACTTTGCCGAAAGCGCAGGAACCTTTGAGAACCGTAAGGTATTGCGGGAACGGCCGGCAAGACTCCACAGGGAATTGCGCTCATCGGGTTGGCTCTATCGGCTGAAGGATTGCGGCAAAGGCGAAAAGCACCGAAATAAGACTGACGGGTCAGCGAGCTACGCCCTCCTATTCGCCATAATACTGCCCAATCAGCCTGCTTAGACAAGCCGAAACGATCGAATCGTGTTCCCAGCTTGTGCCAGACGAAGCTCCGATGCAAGCCTATACGTAACGCTCAATCTACGTGCGAGGTTGTCACTTGACGACTGCAGGCTTTTTCGATTAGTGATCGGGTGTTGTGTAGTTTATCAAGCCGAGAATGTCAAAAACACACAACGATGTCCGCATCGCAAGGCAGATTCGCGGCATCGAGTCACCAGTCGAGGTAGGGTGGAAAACATGTGTCAAGATCCAGCAATCAAAGCATTCGTCTACGCATTATTAGCTGAGTATACATGCAGGCATGATCAGGTCTTACGGGTTGACGAAATGCCCACGCCCGCCGCCCGCCTGCCATAGGGTATCCCAGCCGACTTTTCCTCGTTCCTCATAACGCCTGAAAGAAAGATCACAAACCAATCCCATCCTGCCCAGTGGTGCTCCAAAATTGGCTCATCTATGTCCACGGCCACGGCCACCACCACCGCCGCCGCCGCGACCGCCACGGTCACGACTACGGCTCGGGGACCGGGATCGACGACTGTCGTAGCTATCGTAACTATCTCGACTCGGGCTTCTTCTCCGACGGTTGCGGTCGTTACCGCGGCCACCTCCTCCACGTCTCGGGGGTGGTGATGGGGACCGAGAGTATGATCTCGAACGGCTTCGGTATCTGCTTCCACCGCCGCCTCTGGACGGAGGAGCAGCGATGGGAGATCGGCTTGGGGAGCGCGAGAGCGAACGAGGCCGGTAGGTGTCTGATCTGGGGCCGAAGCGAGCCTGAGATGGCGATGCACCCCGTCGGGGACCGTTCTGACCGAATGGACCGGGTCCGCCTCCACCGCCGCCGTGGAATCCGCCCTGGGCTCTTCCCCCTCGACCGCCTCTGGCATCGGAGCCTCCGCCACGTCGAGCAGCAGGAGGTGCTGGGGACATCTTGCGCCGGGGAAGAACGATGGAGACGTTGATCACTGCGCCATCAAGCTGTGCCTCATGCATGTGTGCGATAGCATCCTCAGCATCGGCCTCGGTATCGTAAAGGATGTAAGCAGTGCCGCGGTTGGTGCCGTCTGGAGGAGAAGGAATGTCAGCCTCATGTAACAGGGATCCATTTGGGGGCCATCCAGGCCGACCCTACGAGGACAAATACTGACGTGTTCTATTAATGGGCAGGTCAAGATCCTTGATGTGTCCAAATTGGCCAAAGATCTCTTCCAAATGAGCTTCATTGATGTTCTTGGTCAATCGCTCGACAACAACCTAATTAAATGCAGAGTTAACAGCTTGAACTTTTAAAACGAGATTGATAAAAAGAGCAAGGAGACAATTTCACCTTCGTGCTTCTGATGGCAGAGCTGGCGCTCCTTCCGCGGCTCCGACTGCGGCTTTCGCTTCTCGGTCTGCCATTTCGTCGCGGAGACCTAGAACGCGACGGCGATCGTGAATCGTACGTATGGCGACGGACTGGGGAGCGAGACCGATCTGACAGCGGCGTCAATGATCGAGAACGGTCGCGGTAGCGGTCGCGAGAGAGCGATCTCGTTCGGGACGCCATGGTTGCTTGTGTTGGGGCAAAATCTTGGTTGACAGGTTGGCGAAATTGAACAAGGCGTCGCAAACCGCGACCCTCTTTCCTGTCGTGCCAGGACTGACGTGTGATCACGTGATGGAGCGGGTCCACACCGAGGTGACAGGCACGCCTCTCGGTGAAGTTCGGTGAGTACGTAACGACATGCATTCACCTTCGCATCACATCGTTCAAGGATTGGGATAGTGGCTCAATTATATTCCTTTTCGATCTATATACCAGCGGAGAACTAATGAGCTCTCAATCTGATTCTTCCATCGTCTTCTGCAAAGGTAGTATTCCACGTCTACTGAAATGCTTCTTACGTGGTAATGAGCATCCATAGCGGGCACTTCAGGTGTGACAGTAAGTGGTTGGTGTGAAGTTGAATCAAAATCGAACTTCACAGGCAGAGTACAGGACGAAGGCAAACAATTGGGAGTAAGATCCGTGGCAATGTACATATTCCTATTACTACTATATACACCCGCTGTAACATTGCTAAGCGTTGATAACGCGAGGGAATCGAGGACGTGGTATCTCAGACTCGAAATATGCTGAGCTCCACTACCTCCCAATCCGCTAGTACTGTAATAATACATGGCAAAGGGCCAATTCATGTTTTACTTTTGCCCCGAACCACGTCGTGTTTTCAGGATACCTGAACGCCTCAACCATTTCTCTTGGAAATCAACGGTACCATTACATCGCCCATTACCGTAAGCCCTCCACAACAAAAGAAACTAACGGGGAGCTCACGCAGCCCATTCCACGACCTCCAAGGCACACATGACGAGCACCAAGGTTGATGGAAGAATCCTACAATGTTTGTTAGCATTTGTACAGGGAAGTACGGAACGGATTTGACTACGTACCAAATGACATAGCTCTGGAAGAGGATTCTCGACATAACACTCTCGTAAACCTCGTTGATTTGGCAAATCTGAGCCAGTTGGAGAGCACTCGGGGCGCCGGTCAACAAGAAGCAGACGATAACAAAGATAGGGTCATCCAGAATGCTGACTGGCACATACTTGGCGAAGACGGCCAGGATAGGAGTCATGATCAGGGTCGGTAGAAGCATGCGGCACAACAAGGATGCGACGAGGAGTTTTGTTCCGATCTGGTCCTCCTCGGGATCACGCATCTTCTCGCTCTTTTGAGTATTGCGGGCGAGGTTGGCACCAAGAACAACCAGGATCAAGGGCACGGCGACACCGCCACTGGATTGAACAGCATCCGTGAAACTGTTCTTGATGAAAGATCCCTCTTCGAAAAAGATCTTCTGCAGAGCCGGGACAGACGCAACAACAACTGCGCTGAGCATGGCCCACAGAGGTGGGTTCATGAACTCCCACAGGAAGTTGTAAAACTTGCCGGCGAAGCGGCTTAAGGCCAAGAGAATCGTCTTGAAGGGGGTGGGCAAACTGTTGTAGACTCTCGCGAAGAAGTTTGATGTCGATTGCTTGGCAGAGGTGATTATGTGGTTGTAGGCGTTCTTAATGCGGGTAGGGTAGCCCTTAACTCCCTCAGGGACTTCGGGTTCATCCGTGTTACGAATGCGGGGAAAGGACGATATCTCATCGCCACTTCCGTCGAATACGGGATGGTTTCCATTGAGGGGAGCGAGGCCGTTGGTCTTCATCGGCTTCTTGGGAAGGTAATCGTCGTCCTCGTCTTCGGTATCGGCGGGGGAAGCTCTGGATCTGCTAGCAACAGGAGTGCGACCGGCCGGCTCATAGTTGGATAGGTCATCACTAGAGTGACTGCGGGAAGTAGCCGTGCCATCATCGTACTCGTTCAACAAGGGGGCGGTCTCGCGATCTCCTGCATACTGTCCCTCCTCGACGCGCTCGTCCTGGTACTCGGGGTACTTGTCCTTGGGAGCGAGCAACACGTGGTAGCCCCAGCTCCAACGCACCAACTGGCCGAGCTGCTGGAAGATCAAGAGGTACAGAATACCACGAGCACCAACCTCGTCATCGTTATCTCCGGGAATCTTGTCCCAGTGTAGCCCCTTGATAGTTTGCGATAGGGACAAGATCATGGAAATGGGCAGGGAGTTTGAGTTTCCGAAGACTCCCATAGCCGTGACAAAGTTAGTAGCGCGGCGGTTGAAGCCAAAGCCGCGGGCGACGCCGGTAGCGACAAGCCAGGAGACAAGAGTCTGGATGACGAAGATGATGGGGATTACGGCGAGATCGAGGAGCTTGTCGGCATTCAGTTGCGAAGCCAATTTGGTGAAGACTTGTGTACACTATTAGTAGGCTACAATGGAAATATGATACAGAACAAACGGGAATATAATTACTAAGGCATGGTGTGAACAGCATGACATTGAGGTTGGCCAAGAACTTTTGCTTTTCGGCATCAAAGTGGCCGAGACGGGCGATGATGTAGCCCGGCAAGCTCACGCAAACGACCTCGAGGACAGCCTCGAAGACGAGAAGTACCAAGTTGCCCATGGATGGGTGTGAGTCGTGGGGCTTCTTCATGGCCATGAGGGGCATTTCGTATATGTTCTGAGCCATATCTGCCAGTCGAAACGACGTCGGCGACGTCAAGTATTGTTGGTCCATTCTAGACCGTGGATATTAAAGAAAGCGCAAAGACAGAGACCGCGGATGTCGAGGTTGGACGAAGGGTACGGCGGAGTACGAGAGAGCTTCAAGACGGAGGTCCTGGGCGGCCAAAGCTGATGGAAGGTTCTTAAGAGGCTTGGCGCGGCGCGTTGACCTTGTAATCGGGCCCAAGCAGCACGATGTGAACGTTTCGGATAGTCGGCGATGGGACGGATCGCAACCGAAGGAGTAAAGTATGGTGTTAAAGTCGGTGATCGGGGTTTTCCGTTGGAAGTCGGAATTATCGGTGGTATGTATCGGGCCTCCACAGTAGAGACCGGCCTTTTCCAGAAGTTTGCGACCAAGCTCTCATTCTCTGGCGGCAGGAGACATGAGGAACGGCGAAGATTGTATTAGTGTAGTGGTGTCGCGCTGGTCGTTTGGTGGAGGGACGTTGAGGAAAGGAAGCACGTGCAGGATCAAGTTGATGGACGAGGTGTGTGGAGGGAAAGAAAGGTCGAAGAAGGGAAAGGCAGAATAAAGGTAAAGGTGATGACAGAAGGACCGGGAGTTTTCAGCCACAGAAGGGAAGGCACGATGATATGAGGTTGGCCCGAGAGTGGGTAGATTGATAAAGGAACTGGAAAGAAAAATACGTAGTCGAGGCGAGCTAATCACGGCGCAAAAATGGCGATGGCGGCGCACTGGGAGGCCCAGGCTGCGGTCTCCAGGGATGAGGGCGGCACGTAGTATGCCACTTCAGCGCGACAGCTCACTGTTTGGGAACAGCCCCCAGGTTCCGTCACCTCCGTTTTTGCCGTTTTTGCCTTGCTACGGATACTTTTGCTGCCTGTTCTTGGTAACGGGCAGTCCAGACTCCCGTTCCTCCCCCCCAGACCAGACCGTATCAGTTACGCAGATGGTGCAGCGGCGCAACCTTGACACTTCCCCCCCAGCCCAGTGGGGATGTGCAACACACACAGCGGCAAGCCGCAATCTGGCAGCCACCCACCGCGTAAGGCACTAACGTAACGGACACTTGCCGCTAAGAAACACTTGGCGCCCAATCAGAAGCGCGGATGAGCCCACGATGACGCCGGCCCTCAACTACCTCACCTTACTAGGTACTCCGTTCTGTAAGGTAGTAAGAGCAGGTCTCCGTTCAGTGACTCTGAGAGCAACTCATGCCGAAACTGAGTGGCATGGATCCTCCCACCACCCTGTTGCTTCCTGCTTGGTCTTGCAACCCGCAAAACTCTGCATGCAAGGCACCCCGGCTATTCTTGCTCCATTTACGCTTAGGTTCTCATCCCTCCCCTCCCTTCCATCTGTGCACTGCCATTTCCTATCAAGTTTGTTCATCAAGTTGACTTCTTCCAGTTTGATACAGACACAACGAAACGATAAGATATTCGAGGGAGGCAGCCGCTGTGTTGTGTGTCTTGGTGGCAAACACTGCCCTACCACAAAACGGTCCAACAAGCACACCATCAACATGCACCCAGAAGCAAGCGCCTCAAAGAAAGACCAACTGACCGACTGGCTCTTGGCACAACAGGCGCAGTGTATTACACGGCGCCTTGGCAATGTCGTCGAATCGAAATCGAAATTGCCCTGACGTCGCCAGCTCCGGTTGACATGACGGACCACTGGCCAGACGTGGCTCCTCGCCTTTGGCCTACCGATACCTGCTGCGACACCTATCCGACTGCGACGCAATCCGCCATTCAATCCATCCATTGACCACCGTTTCTCTCTCCCGTCCCTTGCTTAGCTCTACGAGTCCATCCCCTGCCGGTCGCCGTTTCCGGTTTTCCGCCCCCATCTTTCTTGATTCATCCGTTGTCTGATAATGTTGCACATCGGCACACGACCTTGTATCGCCAGACACTCTACACCGAGCACAGATACCTACCACTACGTTGTTCGAACACCTAATACTCCGTACTCCGTAAAGAGTATCCATTCGGGATGGGATGCCACACTTGACGATCCTTCTCCGAGAGACACCCGCACACACAGACACATCAGATCGTCTCCCGCGTTCCGCAGGTACGCATGCTGTACGTCAGGTTGCAGCGGTTGAGAAGCACACGTTCGTTTCGGGAATCTCACCTCTATTAGCCAACCATTCAGCACACGGCGGAACCTAGTTCTTGATTCCCAGCACACGATTACCTATCTTGCCCGTTCCTCTTCCCTACAATTCGGGATGCAAAAGAATACCTTATCAGCCACACTGCTGCCCAGACACCATCAGCAGGAGCTTACCTGCTTCGCCATCTCATCTCTGTGCTGAATGTTCCCGTACCCTGGCTGTGCTGTCAATATTTAGCCCCGATACCGCCGCCAAGGCTGCCTCGGAGCCCAGCTATCCAAGGGTCTTGCCGGCAACTTAAGCTTCATGGCCGCGGTCCGCAGCGACTTCAGGGAGGGGACTCTCGGCTGCGTTTGCCTGCCTGCTTCAACTTGCATGCACATCCGAAGTGAGGCTGTTGCAATCCCCATTACCCCGCCGTTTCTCATCAACTTTGCCCATGATGGAAACGGTAGCTTTGAGCTTCTCTAAACGTACGCACAGATGCTCCATCAGGGCAGATGCCTTCTGCTGCTCGACTATGGCTACCATATTTTGGTCACTGCTCTCGGCCCACCGTCTAGAAAGATATCTCGAGCCGGAAGATCAGACTTCCACCGCGCCAAGTCGGATCCAATACGGGCAGAACACGCGAAGCTATGCAGAAACGACTCAGCTGCTTCACTTGGACGACTTGATTATCAGATCACAAAGAAATGTGATACACTGCTCGTTGCTTCCACCCACGCACGACATCTCGTCGAGGTCTCGGCCAACCTGACTGCTTGATGTTACAGTCTTTGCGATTCTTCTATAATGGTGTTTTGAGCATCGAATATGCGTCTTCTTGGCAGGCCAGCACAACGGAGTTTAACAAGATTACCCAGGTCTCTCCTTGCCGGTGCTTTAGAAGGCGAACACTCAGCAGACATATATACTATCGCCCTGAAGTAGTTCCTTCTTGATCTTTCGTCCTTTGAGTCCACGGCCCGTCTCAGCATCCTTTGAAGCAAACGAACAAGTGTTTACCCCCCCTGGCGACAATGAGAGAACCGTTTCTTAGGCTTTCGTTTGCACTCTCTGTGTCTTTGTAAGACAGACAAAGAGCTTCACGTTGACAGGAAGCCTTCAAGTCATTGTCTTAAAAACTTGAGTACATCATGGATAACATCTAGGTATAATGTCGCGGGGCTGGCTCTTTCGACTGGTGAAGAGGGCGCTGGGCAGCCAAGCCGTTGCTCTTATTCCCCTGGTCCAGTATGTCTCTCTATGCGGCGAGGGTTCCTTGACGGTGTCATTGTTCACAAAATCCCTACACCGGACCCAAGAGGGCGTCCTGAGGCCCACGATAATGGGGTTGACCGGGCAGCCTTGAGCTTCCTCATCTTCTCGTCTCGTCGAGGACCATCGAAGAAACAAAACATCTTCTCAGGAAAGGTTCACCTTGCTATACAAATTCAACCAAGACACCTGTTATACCACACACAAAACCACAACTAACAGCAAGCCCAAAATGAAGTCTAACCTGACTGTCGAGAAGAAGAAGAAGAAGAAGGAGAAGGAGGAGAAGGAGGAGAAGCAGGGTCTGCAAGTGACTGGTGCCAAGACCGACGGCAGCAAGGTCGCTTACCCTTCTGGCAAAGTTGCCGGATCTCCCATCGTGCAGCAGCAGCAGCAGCGGCGGCAGCCGCACGAGAAGCCTCGTCGCGTCATCAAGCTTCGCCCTCAGCACGCGAGCCCCCTCGAAACCGCGGACGACGACGAGTACGACGATTGTTGGGACCCTTACTATGAGGAACCCCCTACCAAGGACGACAAAGTTGTCGAGGAGGACTTCGTCTTCATGAAGAAACCCGGCCCGTCTCGTTGAGTCGCGCAATTTGAACGGAAGGAAATGGGAGGAAGGGAAAGGAAAGAGCAGGCCGTGAGCCAGATGGAGCTGAGAGGCAAGAGCTGAGAGGCAAGAGCTTCACCGTCCCTTTATGGAGGTAAGAACTGCCCACTTGGCATCATCGCGGCCTCGGTATACTGATTTGAATATGTAGGTGACGAGAACCCTTTGGAGATTGCGATGACCTCCTTCCCTTACGTACCCTATCTTCATGAAATCAACGAGGGCCAAGTGCCTATTTCTCACCGGATCTCTCTTTTGTGTGATTTCTTCTCGTCCCTACGCTAGACTTCTCTGGGATGTCCTGGTTCGCTTGCCCCTTTGCGCAGAGAAAAGCGAAGACTATTAACATTAAATAGGTGGCGAGAGGGAACCTATCTGCCAGTCTGTGGTTGTGGTCAACCGACGTCCCTCCTCGATCTCATAACCCTGGGACATCGCTTATCCAGCCTGATGGCAGCGGCATGGTCAGTAATCCACGACTCGGTGCCGGCACTTGAACACGAAGATAGGGAAGCTCCTCGTCATCAGTACCGTAGACTGTAATTGGATGGGATGCCGGCATTATAGACAGCGGGTCAGATAGTGAATGCCAATACCCGCAAGAAGCATTGAAGACATTCATATAATGAAGCTCCCCCCAGTCTGAGGTCGTCGCCAATTGCTCCTAGTACGGTAGACCGTAGCTAGAATCGGCAACTTCGGGTTGATGAAATGCGTTCCTTCCTTACATAGCGATAACCATGTACCATCGAGCTGACTGTCTGCTCGAAGTGTCTCATGTTCATGTTCAGCTCTTCCTTCCGTTGATCGAGCGTCAGCCTGTTTTGAACCCCTCACTTGAACCCTTTGGACGTACAACGATGTGTTGCCCAGAGGCCGCAGTATCCCATCGAGTGCTGCAAGGCGACAGTACATATCAATGCGGGGGAACAGCATATCAAGCGTTATTCCGATTTAATCCCCTTATATCCGCGAATTAAAAATTTGATGCTCAGGTAGACTTAGAGAAAAGCTGAAAACAAATGTACTGTCGCCTTGCAGTACTCGATGGGATATCGAGGCTCGCAGGGCGGCGGTATATCCGATGCGGGAACGAACGTATCGGTGACTAGACTCTTCGAGTTCGAATGCCATGACCATTTCGAGTGTTCAGTATCTCAATGAATAGCTTTTTAACGCGGCATCCAGTTAATTCCACATGACAAAAGCTCACGCATCATAAGGGCATCAAATCTGGAGATTTGCACACAGTGCCCCTAAAAACGAGGAACTCGAAAGCAGATTAAGGTATTCATACCTCTCTTCAATGAACAGCATCGGGAATTTCTGAAATTACAACTTGATTCATGTTGCTTGAATAATTCCCATTAAGGATCTTCTACGTAAAGATCGAAGAAACCGTCCTAAAATCTGCAGACGATTTAGCAAAGCTACCGTCAAGAGATCACTTGCCACCAAGACCAACATTGGATGATGTCCTGGTACCGCAAAAGACATTGTGATAGTATGCTTGTTGATGTTTCGACAACTCATCACGTGCTGACATGTGACCTTGACGTAATAGACATGATCCTCATCTCAGAAGATAAACAAGATACCGGTATGCATCTACAACTAACATTACATCAATCACCAGACCTTACTTCAGACTACGTATCTCAAAAGGAATTGATAAACAGTGACCGACACAAAATTAGATGCATGATATCAATCAGCATCCCATCATGCGCCCGAGATGCGCAACATACATTACGGTATTGTTCGACATCGAGATTGTCGGAGCTGTCAGCAGAGCTGCACTAGGGGATCGACAAGGCGTGGGGGAAAGGAAAAAGAGTCACACTGGACAAGAATTAGACATGACATCAAAGTGAAACAGATGACAGATGTGGAGAATCGAGGATGATCTCTGTGGTGCTTGTGATGCTTGTGGCACGACGGATGAGCAAGAGTGCAGGTGGCGAAACCATGTGGCTGATGACGACAGAGGTTCGTCTTTTTTCCCGCTCCCTCCCCGGTTTAGCTATCGACAAGTCAACAATCTCAACAATCTCAACAAGAGGACGAGATCAAAGACGTGGAGTTTGATAGGAGATACGGTCGGCAATCGCAACATCTCGGAGGCCGCTTGCCATTGAGTTTACGCTTCTCCTTTTCTGCGCAGGCCATTCCCTGATGAGCTGAACTGCCTTTGTGATGGGATACTCTGTTTTGACAGCATTTGCCACTGTTGACGACCATCGGCGAGGGCTCCGGCCGGCTGCGCAATGGGATTGGCCCGGCGTGTGCGGCGTTCCAGCGCTGGGCTGTTCTGGCTGTGTTCCCCCCAAGAGGCAGATCTTTTGGAGGGGGAGCAACTCTTTTTTTTTTTGGGCATCAAAACACTAAAAAGTTAGAGGACCCTTGAAAAATATTTGGACTGCGTGGACCTTTAGACTTTGAAACTGCATATTTCCCCCAGGGGGCTGTGAGGCGATGATCGCGGGTAGGCCGTAGCGAGTGGCGGTTGTGGATGAGATCAGGAAACGTGCCCAGAGTCTGGATTCTTTTCTGGTTTACCGTATTGTAGATTCCGTATTCTAGATCGTGTAGATAGGGGTTATGGGATTTTGCTCCCTTGTATTTTGCGTCTTCGCGATCACGCCCACCCCAAGTCGTGATAGTTTTGCGATGCCCTAACCGTTCCGACTGAAGACGCCTTACCTAAACAATTTAGGTACTCAGGTACCTTACCATGGCCATGGGATTGTAGCATGAAGACGTCAGCGAATCGCATAGACGCGGGTGAGGTTCCGCTCGAGCTGCGATTGGAGAGAATGCAGAGAGCAATTGGGTGCGGCGATGATGTCAGGCGGAGGGAATCGTCCGCTGTCGTGCTGATAAGATAAGGCGCCTGAGGGCAGCTTTTCCTGAGCTGTTCTATTGAGGAAAGTAAATGTACGTACCGTATTCTCGATGAGAAAACGTCATCAATCGATGGGAAATCGTCCTTGTGGCATGCCGTTTCTTCCATGAATTCCTAATTCCCAGTGCATAGTGATGATGCAAAGCCCATTTCGATCATCTTTCGCTCTTGGGAAATCATCTGATGGTATTGCGTACCGTCCTTGACTTTTCGAGGTTAGCAGCCTGCAAACCATGCATTCTGTGACCTGTCCACCCCCGATCCGCGATGGAGAGAGGTGCTTCAACGACGAAGAGTTGCGGTGGGGGTCGAACCTCACCAAGAGACACTGGACGAGCTAAGAGGCCAGTAGCGTCAGTGTAGTGAGCCTCCTACGGGAAATTACTCTCGTCCGTTCAAAACTTCAAGCCACCAGTTTTCTCGGTCTGCCGTTGGCGTTGCTCCCTCCAACCCGTGGAACTCCCCTCCTGCTCCCTCAACGTCATCACTCCTTCAGCAACGGCCCCGTAGCAACTTGGCGAATTGCGAGACGCCGGAAGAGGGGGGTAGGATGAGTGACCGGGGTCTGGTTGATACCGGCGATGAAGGGCCCCTCACTATCAACTTGTGAATTCCAAGCATTCTCCAATCTCCATACTCCAACAGAGAGTTTCCAGGCGCAGAGCCACAGAGCCCAGTCCTGCCTATGTGCTTGTCTCAAGCCCTCTCGGAGGGCTTTCATGTAATCGACTCGATCATTGGTTGAGGAGGTCGAGGATGCCATGCGCAAATTCAGATGGCCGCTGCTTCGGCACGGTACTTTGCGGTCTAAGAGACTAGCGTCAACGGGGGAATATGCAGCTTTCATCTTAGACTGCCCATCGTCGTCCTTCCTGGCGGGTGCTTCGACCGCATGACGGTGCCGTCTTCGCCAATCGTTTGCTTTGCCTTCAACAGGCAAGCCTCCGCCGGGCGCCAGAAGTCATGTCCGATGCGTCTCTATGTATCTGCACTGTGGTATGTTTGTGGGGGCGGATCGTGAGAGAGATGAGGAAAAAATTGCAGCTGTTGTTGCGGTGTAAGACAGAAGCAGTCTAGTCATCCGTTGCGTGTGTCTAGATTTCGTCTGCTTGGTGGCTACTTTCGCTTGGTTGAGGTAGGGGTCTGTAGACCGGCTCGGTTCCGAGTTGCGAGTTACATCACTCTGGCCGTTGCATGTGCTATTTTCAGAAACATCGCGGACGAGGTTAGCAGGTTTCCGCAAAATGAGGTGAGCGTGGTGATTCTGAGGTAGCTAGCTAGCTCAGTCATTCTCGTCACTGGAGCGAGTATCCTGAGCAGATGGAGCATAATGCATGGAGCACATATGCAGGCGCGTCCGCCGTCGAGAGGTGATGTGCGGGAAAATCTTGCTGATGGTCCCTGCTATGATCACTGAAGAGCCTGCTTGGGGGGCTCGAGTGGCTCCATGCTCGTTATCCCCTTGCGACAGCCGAGCCACACAAGTGTCCTGGTTGGTGGCTGCTGGTTGCCGTCGCAGACGCAGGGCACCTCATTGTTTGGTGCAGTGTAAGGTATTCGAGGACCCGAGCTGTCGCAATGGTGAGATCTGACTGACGATGCGTGGGTAGGTCTTGGGAAACGATTGGAGTGGACCGCTGTCACCGGATGCACGATGTCCTGGAAGAAGCCGGGAGGAAGTTGGTTAGACTGGGCGGTGATGCAGGTGGCGGTGCTCTCCAAGGGACAGGCGCTGCATATGCGGATGTGCATATTGTCCAGGGCTCAGGGCAGGGTAGATGGACGCTTCTACTTCATTCTTGGGACTCGGGAGTATTGTGAGGCTTGAAAGAGAACTTACTACTTGCACCTGCATACCTGGTAGGAAGGCTTGATCGCTCGATATGTGGTTTTGTTTCTTTTTGCGGCGCATCTGCCCAAGCTGCCTTCCCTGACCTTGCCCTGTGGCTGTAGTTGTAAAGCCAAGGCAGGGATCTTCTCCCTTTAGGCCTTCACCTTATTGAGTGTTATTGGCTGACCAACATTGGTGTCTGGACTGCCGGGCAGCCGTCAGGTTCCACCGAAGAAGAACAGCATGGAATTGGAATTGGACGTTTCTTGCTACCTGAATGTGGATGACATAACGAGCTCTCTCCTGCTTCTTTCTTCGTGAGTTTCATGTACCAACGTACCTTGTTGAGGGTAGCGAGGCAGGAAGAAGCCGTTCGGGACATTGGGTGTACCTACCTGCTCAAACTGCTAAGCTATTGACTGGATGCGGCTGAGAAATGGGAATTGAGTGTCTCTGGGCATACGTACCGTCAATACTCCGTACATAGTAAGGTAGTGCCCGGTGTGAGATTGCCATTGACGTACCGCGCTTTTACGGAGGCAACATCCTGGATCTTCCATTTTCGTACCGTAATTAACAGAAGTCAACGTCAACGTCAAAAACCACCACTGGACCTGGACGTTGGCGCCCAAAGTGCCCTATTTTGCCTTTTCTTGTCTTGTTCATCTTGACACATCCCACACATCTTTCGACTATTTCTGCCCTGCTGCAGAGTGCAACTCTATCTATCAACGACTAATAGATTGATAGATTCTATATATGCCTTACTAGTTCGCCCCCTCTTCCCATCTGAATTCGCCCACTTCTTGGCCTCTTCTCGTGCACACAAGCGCTTTACACACAAACACCCGCCACGGAAGAAAGAATTCGACATTTGATACTCGGTCCCAAGCACTCTGTCTCTAGATCTCACGAGAGATTGGCTGGTGAGCCTCATATTTCCTCATTCCACCACCCCAGCCCAA